ATGGGGCGTGTCGTGTTTTGGAGTTGGTTCCCTTTTTTGGGGGCTTTAAAGGAAGCCAAAAGGAAAGCCACTATTTTGGGATCCCTAAAAAAAGGACACCCAAATAGGATTTCAAACCCAGGGCTTCGGTTCTCCTGAGGGGCTTCGCAAAACCAGGCCAAATAAGGGTACCCTCAACAAAGACACACACACACAAACAAATCAACCAATTCCAAGAAACAGCCAGAAAAAGCAGATTGTTCGACTTGTGTTTTTTCCAGGTCCCATGGTCCAGCGGTCATTTTCTCACAGAAGGTCCAGTTTTTGATCAGTTGGCTACTTTGGTTTCTTTATGGAGGGAATCCAGTTTTTTCCTCTAAACCAAAAGAGAGCCACAAAAGGCTGGCCAGTTTTTTTTCGCTTTGTCCATTTTTTTTAACGGAACGCGGAACAGAAGCGAACCGCAGGACCTTTCCAAGGAACCCCAACCCTGAGGAAAAGCAACCCAAATCGAGAATGACAAGTCTGTATTTTTGATTCTGCGAGGTGGGAAAAATGGTTTGCATGCTTTGGTTTTCTCGTTCCTAAAATCCAGTGCTTGAGCGTTGTGTGTTTTCATGCTTCTGTCTCGCTGCTTCCAGTGAAGTGAGTCTTTCCCAACATCCGAGGGTTTTCTATTTCTCGAGAAAGGAAACCAGTCACAAGACAAACACAGTCAGGGGGAAGGTGAGTTGATTCCGTGCAAACATTGCAGTCAGGTTGCTCCGAGTCTCAAAGATGATGGAAGCACAAGAATGGGCCCTTCCAGGTCCCCTTAAAGACCTCGCAGGAGGCCTGGCGCGAGATGATGTGGCAGCTGTTCACCGGTTGGGTGCTGGCAACGGTGGCAATCTTCGTCACGATCAGCGACCATGCGCCCTCCACCTACGTGCGCCAGTCCTGCTCGCTGGCCGGACAATGAACATGTACCATTCTACTTGGATGTTTAACCAACTTAGTAAGTAGGTTATAGCTATGGTTATAAGGGGTTACTGATAACCTACTTACTAAGTTGGTTGAACATCCAAGGGGGGTGAGTCCATTTCTGTGTATCGTTGGCTACGAAAGAGAACCCTTAAAGGAAAAAGGAACATGGTTGGTTACCTACCAGAATAGTAATTTGACGACAGAAACAACGAAACCACACAACGCGCACGTATAGCTAGTTTCAGACATATTTTCTCCCAAGCAAACAGGTCTTGCTAATGACCTGCGAAACAACCCAACACGGTTTTTGTTTTGTTTTGTGTAACGACTTGAAAAGACGTACGGATCCATGTCGGAAAACTTGGGGGGCACTTGCCCAAACTGAAGTGCCGCGGTTCTTCGATTATTACCCTCCTAGCATCGAACCAGCGATGGATCAACCTTCCGAACTAAGAGCAAAATGTGTTTGCCTCTCCCCCAATCAAAAGGCTCCGAATGGAAATCAACCAGTTTGTGACTGGGCCATTTGGCTTTTGGGTAATCTCCAGTGCCTCCAATTTTGTCCAAGGCCCGCAAGGCTGGCTTAGGATAAAGGCCTTGGGTTTGTGCCAAAATAGTGACCCCCACAAGTGGGGTTGTGTTTTCTCCAAGTGTCCCTTAAACCAACCTATGTGAAGGTTAGCTGCCAAAGAACCAGGCCCATGGGTCCATTTGGGGGCACTGTGACCTGGTTGAAGTCCACAAATTTCCACAAATGAGCCTGTCTTTTTTAATGTTACCCTTTTTTGGGTGGTTTCAAAGGAACAACCTCAAAACACCCAATGTGTGAAGGGCCCAAAGCTGTTTTGAGACAAACCCAAATATGAGCATGTTTGGTGTCCTTGCGGTTTCTTTGCGCCCAGGCTATGAATCCAAAACCACGTGTCTTGTCAGATTCTACCCCTCGATGCCTTGCTTAGCATGACCAGGCGTGCCCTGGAAGGGTCTGAGTTCGAACCATTATATCGATTTCTTTTGACGTGTTGGTTTGGATTGGTCGTTTGGGGATTTGACCCCAGTTCCTGTTGAAACCAAGTCGGGAAGGTACCCCGACCGTCTAAACCACCCCAAACCACCAGTTAGGAGCAAGGTGACACAGGGTATTGTGAAGACGTCTCTTCGAGGGATGCCCTGACCGTGACCCACCTCTGGCGGAACGTTTTGCATTTGGTTTCCTATGTCTTTTCAATTGGACCCCCCCCAAAACAAAGAAGACGGATACTCCTTTTGGTTTCCCTTCAGAACCACAAGGTGCCCTGAAACCAAAGAGCCACACCGCAATATCGTTCTTTTAGAACGCCCCAGCCGTTTTTCTCTTTGGTGGGCTTTCTCGAGGGCCCCTTGCTCGTGCTTCCCAAAATAATATGGCGCTTCCACCTGGCAAACATCCGCTGGGAAGGTTAACGTGAACATCTTTGGAGAGGTCTCCAACCGTTTTTCGGGCGATTGTTGCGACAATGTCCCTGCCTCTAGTTCGGAGCCTTCGAGCATTTTAGACGTTGCAACCAAGTTCTCTTCAGAGGCTCGTTTTTCTTTTTGTGAGGTGAAGGGTACCCTTCGGCTATCGCCGAGAAACTGGTGTGGATTGGTGGTTGTAAACTGACTTCTTTGGCTTGGTAGGGGAAGCCAAAAGCAGAAGCGAAGATGATTTGGGATGTGAAAAAGAGTTGGGAACGGCAAACAGTCGGGACCCACCGGAAACGCGTAAGATGGTTACGCAAGCGCCTGAATGAGGCAAGTGTGTTTGCGCCATTTGGTTCAGCCGGCTGGTCTGGATGAGACTCGTCCCAAGGGGGAAGGGTTGGGCTAGGCTCAGACCCAAATAGTCTGAATGTGATAGACCTCCCATGGGAGCTACGGGGAAGAGCTTTTTTTTTGGGGGGGAACAAGGGGGTATCACCTGTTGGACTCCTACTGGGGCCTTGAATGCTTATCCTTGGCTTATTCAGGCCTAGCTTTTGTAGATCCCTCGGAAGTGGGTGTGGTGGGGGGGGCCTTCAAAGTCAATAATGTGTTAGCCCCATGAATGTTGATGGAGCACTGCTCAAACATATCGGTACATTTTTAGCTCACCATGATGACGCGCCTTTGTTGGGTTTCCCCCTTTTTCCCCTTACTTCCACATTTGGGAATCATAGTTTTTTTTGGTTGCATTACCCAACAAATTTGGAGACAAACGCATGCGCCCGATGGGTTGTATGGCTGTGAGGAGTACCCTGAAGCCGGCGTAAGTTTTTCTGCAGATCTCCACAGTCCAAGTGAATCTCTGTCAGGCTCATGGGTCCTTTGGTGTAGGGATGGTTATCAACCTTGGGATTTTAGACAAGCGTACTTGATGACCACCCCACGTAGTGGTTCATATCCTTGCTTAGGTCCTCTAAGTGCACTATAGGCCAGAACCCACTTGCTGGCCTGAAAAAACGGGCATGTTGGCCACGTAAGGGTTGCCATTAAAGAAACCGTGCCCATGACCACATGAAGAGTTTTGACCATGGATGTGTTCTCAAGCGCTTTGCCCAATCTGACTTCGGCCACCATCACACCTGCGCCAGTTGGGTGGGACAGGGCATGCGACGGAATGTGTAAGGGCAGTCTGAACATGAATGGCATATATATATATATGCGTATATATGTGGATACATATGTTCTGTAAGCAGGTATTGCAGGTTGCGGTTGGTACAGTTACCGGGGTTTTGGTTTGGGTGGCCCCCTATCGGTTGTGCAGGTTGATGGGTATCGGTCAGGGGGAGTCCGCCTATTGGTTTATTGTGGTAATATTGCAAGCTGCAGCATTCGTCTCCCTCTCTCTCGCCTCCATATATATATATATATGTATATATTTATGTTCTACATATATATATATATATATATATATTGCGGGCTGGCGGGCTGGCGGGCTGGCGGGCTGGCTGGCTGGCTGGCTGGCGTGTGTGTGTGTGTGTGTGTGTGTGTGTGTGTGTGTGTGTGTGTGTGTGTGTGTGTGTGTGTGTGTGTGTGTGTGTGTGTGTGTGTCTGTGTCTGTGTCTGTGTCTGTGTCTGTGTCTGTGTCTGTGTCTGTGTCTGTGTCTGTGTCTGTGTCTGTGTGTCTGTGTGTCTGTGTGTCTGTGTGTCTGTGTGTCTGTGTGTCTGTGTGTGTGTCTGTGTGTCTGTGTGTCTGTGTGTCTGTGTCTCTGTGTCTCTGTGTCTCTGTGTCTCTGTGTCTCTGTGTCTCTGTGTCTCTGTGTCTGTGTGTCTGTGTGTCTGTGTGTCTGTGTGTCTGTGTGTCTGTGTGTCTGTGTGTCTGTGTGTCTGTGTGTCTGTGTGTCTGTGTGTCTGTGTGTCTGTGTGTCTCTGTGTCTGTGTGTCTGTGTGTCTCTGTGTCTCTGTGTCTGTGTGTGTCTGTGTCTGTGTCTGTGTCTGTGTCTGTGTCTGTGTCTGGTCTGTGTGTGTGTGTGTGTGTGTGTGTCTGTGTGTGTGTGTGTCTGTGTGTGTCTGTGTGTGTCTGTGTCTGTGTGTGTGTCTGTGTGTGTCTGTGTGCGTCTGTGTGCGTCTGTGTGTGTGTGTGTGTCTGTGTGTGTCTGTGTGTGTGTCTGTGCGTGTGTGTGTCTGTGTGTGTGTGTCTGTGTGTGTGTGTGTGTGTCTGTGTGTGTCTGTGTGTATGTGTGTGTGTCTGTGTGTGTGTGCGTGTGTCTGTGTGTCTGTGCGCGTGTGCTGAAAGGCGTATTTCCAACGCCATCTTTGCAGGCTCGCGGGCAATTGTTTGCGCCTTCGCTCACAGGAGTTTCAGACTTCATTTGTTCAACAATTCAGCGCAAGATGCTCAATCAAGCTGCGTATTTCTGTGCCCTTTTTCCAGACCTCCAGTGTCTTTCTTCCTCTGCTTAAGAATGCATGTCACTTTCCCTTGTTGGCTTTAAAGCGAATCTACACTAGCAACATGTTCATGTTTTCCTGGTGACTCAAGCAAATGGAGGCTTTCCTCTTGGAAAGGGTTTTGGGTCCCTAGAATCAATCTCAAGAAGGGCGCACAAACGAGGATGCCGTACCTGCTGGCCACCTGCTCCGAGAGCTCGACCGGGCGCAACATGGGCCGGGCGAATTTCTGGACCCAGGACGAGGACGGCGGTCAACACATGCGCTGGAAGCGTTGTTTCGGGGGGAGCCTTGTTTTCCCCGAGCAGTGGTATGTTTTTCGGGTTCGGTGTTCGGGTTCGGGGATGACTGTTGACAAAGATGTTTGCAATGTTAATACTATTTTACCACCATTTTCCTTTCCACCCACTAGGTTAAAGGGAACCCCCCACCCCACCAATGCAAAAACAGTCAAATCATGACTGGTACCAGTACAACTCGATTCGTCATTTTTATCTCAGACCTCCGTTGGGTGCAATTCCTTGCTTCAGCTGTTTTAATTTCGACGACCCAAAAACGAAGTGCCTTGTTCTTCCAGTGGAATCCACTGGGGCTTTGGGTCAATTACTCACCCAGTTATGTTAAAACCCAACAACGTTTGCCGAACTGCTTGGCTAGGTCTTCCTCTTCCAATTCACCCGCGCCCTGGCTGTGGGCCTCATCTTCCTGAGCCACGTGTGGCACTTGGAGCTCGTCTATGGGCGCCTCATCGCGCTGCAGGCGGCTCTGGAGACAAACAAATGCATTCCCAGAGCTCCAGCGGGTCCAGCCTATTTTTGTTCGACCTTTGGAAAAGGCCCCCTTTAAGGAACAAACAGGGGCAGCTGCCAACTTGTTTCCACTTTGTTTTGGGACGGGTTTCGCTTACAGTCAAGAGTGCCGATCTTGTTTTGGAAGACCACCAGGACCCAGTCTGGGGATTTTGGTTGAGCGAACCGTTAGGGCGCTTTGGGTCGGATTTTGGGACAAGCCGAATCCGAGCGTAGCAGCTTTGTTTCCCTATCACTTGTCTACCAGCGTGGTGGTCATTGACTATTCCGCACCTGGCAGTCCTTGGTAGTTCCATGCAAAAAGGGGTGTGTCATTTTTGGAGGGTTCCCTCTTGCACCAAGCGAGCATCTTGGCACCTCAAAAAGGCAATTCCTTTTTGAGGTCCAAAACCTTCCAATGGAGTTCCTACCCGCTTCAATAGCCAAAGAGAATCCGAAGCATCCAGGTTTTGGGGAGACAAGCCCATAGGAAACCGCTTGGGTCTAACGATCCGCCCAGCTCTTCAGGTCATTGGCACTCCTTTTCCTTTGTGGCTTCACGCAAAATGGGAGCGATCGGAAGTACATGTCTTTTTGTGCCGTCGCCTTTGGAGCCCAGGGTCCAAGTTGCCATAGTCGCCAGGAAAGCTATGGAGAGCAGTTGCCCTGCACACACCTGATCCGGTGGTTGTCCCTTGGAATCTGAAATGGGTACCGAGTGCGGGGGGGGGGGGGTCGATGACCGCGGATCATCACTGGGTGTGTCTCAAAGTGTGTGTGTGTGTGTGTGTGTGTGTGTGGATTACCGCTGCTTTGGTGGTCGATTTTTGCGGGAAACCAAAAGCGAAGCAACTTTTGGAGGGTCCAACCTACAAACGACACCCCTTATAGGGGACCCCGTCGGGAGGCAGGAATCAGCAAATCATAAGAAAACAATGGCCCGGGCCCGAAATGTTCGAACGTGTCTGCATCCAGGCGTCCTGAAAACCATAGGAGGTTAAGGTGCAATCCCAAGCAGGCGCAGAAATCCACCCTTTTCATTCTCGCCAGGTTTTGATTCTGACTTCTGAATGACCCTTCAAGGAAGAAGGGGTATGCACCCTTCGCGCGGCAAGAACATCATGTTTGCAGGCTCCTTTTGCCCTTAGGTCTTAGGTGGGTGCTTGTACGGGATGAGCAAACCTCAAGTTGGAAGGAAGGAAGAATGGAGGAAAGAAAGAAAGAAAAGAACAAAGAAAAGAAAGAAAGAAAGAAGGAAGGAAGGAAGGAAGGAAGGAAAGAAAGAAGGAAAGAAAGAAAGAAAGAAATAAAAGAGAGAAATAAATAATTAATGAAAGAAACACATAATGAAACAAGTGAGAAAAATAATTAGAAAGAGAAAGGACATCACCCAGAGACAAATGACACGGGTATGGCTGTTTCCTTCATTTTTTCCGGAGCTTGTTGGTTTGAAGGGGAAACCATGTGGAGGACTCCGATGTTGAGGGTATACCCATGTGGGGGCGATCCAAGCTTCCTAAGTGGCCTACATTGAAGGACACATTGAGGTTCATTCCGGGGGCCAGACTCCAAAAATTGCAGTTGTTTTAGGCCCAAGAGCTGAGGTGCCGGCACTGGCTTAGTTCTATGGGCAACATATATCCAATTGAGCAGCGCCCTTTTACCGATTCCCAAAGGCTCATCTCAGTCGGTGATTCCTACCTGGCTCGAATAAGAGCAGGAGGAGGAGCCTGGATTAGTTTTGACAATTAGTGGGTGGTTCTACTGCCTGGACCAACATGGCGATTTGTATGTTGGTTTACACATGCTTTACTATAACCCCAAACTAAAACTATTACCACCAAACGGCCGCTCGGGTTTTGGGGACCCTGCTGTTTTGCGTTAGTCACTCTCCCGTGGGCTCTGAGGCTTCAGATCTTTTGGAGCCGGTGCCCCTTCGGAGCTTTTGCGAAAAAGTTTCGTGTGGGTGTAACCAATTTGCACCAGGGATGACTTGAATATTGGTTGGTCAATCACCAAGCCCGACTGGTGCTGATCGGCCGATTGGCTGTAACCATTGACAGCAAGATCATTTTCCCCCAGGCACCTGTCACCATAGGGGATGAAAGAAACGGGTATTTTTTTGGGGAACCCTCGTTGGTTGGTTGAAAGGGGACGCCAAAGGGAAGACTTGTTGTTTTGTTGGGGGTTCCTTGATATTGAGACGTAACCTGAAACCAAGCTGGGGGGAACCCCCGGAACCTGACAAATTTGGAGCCGGCCGATCGGTTCGGGGTTTTGCGTTCCGAGGGTCTCTATCCGTATTCAGGGAGAAAACAAATAACTCAAGACCTTGGGGACCCCACTTGAATGAGCGCCCCACTTGGTGGTCAAGGGCTTTTTGCGTGGGGACATCACTTAAGTGGGGTCGTCCAAGCACCCACCACCTACCCCCACCCACCCCCACCCACCCCCACCCACCCCCACCCACCCCCACCCACCCCCACCCACCCCCACCCACCCCCACCCACCCCCACCCACCCCCACCTATCCCACCCACCCCCACACACCCATCCACACCCATCCACACCCACACCCACCCACACCCACCCACACCCACCCACACCCACCCACACCCACCCACACCCACCCACACCCACCCACACCCACCCACACCCACCCACACCCACCCACACACCCACCACATCCACCACACCCACCCACACACCCATCCACCCGCACTACCCACCCGCACCACCCACCCGCACCACGCACCCGCACCACCCACCCGCACCACCCACCCGCACCACCCACCCGCACCACCCACCCGCACCACCCACCCGCACCCACCCACACCAACCACACCACCCACCCACCCACCCACCCAACCAACCAACCAACCAACCAACCAACCAACCAACCAACCAACCAGCCAACCAGCCAACCAACCACCCAACCACCCAACCACCCAACCACCCAACCACCCAACCACCCACCCACCCACCCACCCACCCACCCACCCACCCACCCACCCACCCACCCACCCACCCAACCACCCACCCACCCATTCCCACCACCCCCCAACCACCCACCAACCCACCAACCAACCAACCAACCAACCAACCAACCAACCAACCAACCAACCAACCAACCAACCAACCACCCAACCACCCAACCACCCACCCACCCACCCACCCAACCACCCACCCACCCACCCACCCACCCACCCACCAACCCACCCACCCACCCAACCAACCAACCAACCAACCAACCAACCACCCAACCACCCAACCACCCAACCACCCAACCACCCAACCACCCAACCACCCACCCACCCACCCAACCAACCACCCACCCACCCACCCACCCACCCACCAACCACCCACCCACCCAACCAACCAACCAACCAACCACCCACCCAACCACCCAACCACCCAACCACCCAACCACCCAACCACCCACCCACCCAACCACCCCACACCCCCACACCCCCACACCCCCATACCCCCACACACCCACACCCCCACACACCCACACCCACACCCACACCACCCAACGCCCCACCCCCAGGTTGCTGAGCCTGGTGCCGGCCATGTCAGCGCTGGTGCCCGCGAGCTTCTTGAACCTCAAGGCCTTAGTCCTGGCTATCGCTTCCGCGTTGAGCTTCTCGGCCTTGGCAAAAAGAAGCGAAAAGCAATTTGGAGGCGAGGTTGTTTTTTTTGCCTACCGCGTTGTCCCGAAAACAGTCACATATACAGTAGACATGTATGGTATAACATCGAGCATATACAAATGTATCTATACACGTGCCTTAAAAGGCTTCTCAAAATGCAACTCGGATCCCCCTTTTGGTGAGTGTGGAAAGGGAAGTCAAAAAGAACCTGGTCTAGGCTTCACGGTTCAGTGAACGCAGATGCACCATTCTGGCAGTCTTTCACCCAACTGTATCTGGGGTTTTCTGGTCTTGTTTTACTAATTTTGCTCTTCAGAGCGCAAAGGTTTGAAACAAAGGGACCAGGCCCCGTTGGGTCGAGGAATAACCAAAGGCCTTTTCCAGCGACTCTGAAGGCCACTGGGAGGTGCCTGATCGAAGGCGACCCTTTCCCGAGAAATCAAAAGGTTCGATCAGTTTTTGGCGACTACAAGGGGGTGCAAGCAGTGCGAACTAGTTGCCGGTGCCCACGTCTCGCGAGCTCGCCCTCGTTGAGGCACCGCTTTGATGATCTCCGCGGCGTTGTTTTGGATGGCCATCACTGTGCCGCTGCAAGACCTGCGCTCCGTGGATCGAGGACTCAGATGGTCACGGGCGCGGGGACTTGGATGTTCAACCCCGGCTATAAGGTGCCTAGCCCCAATTGCCCAAGTTATAACCGTGGCTTTCTGAGTTGGTTGAACATCCGGGTAACCGGCGCCCAGGTGCAGTGAAGGTTGGCTCAAGGTCTAGCCATGCTTAGAACCTACCCCGAACCACAGAGCGGATGTCAAAGCTGGAAGAGCCCCCCCGAAAAACAGTCACCCCTTTTTCCCATCTCGAACCGTTTGACACGAATCCCCCCAATGATGTCCAAGGTCCGAATCCTTAAAAAGATGTCCGCCCATCAGCAAACACCTAGCCAGAAGAAGCGCAGCAGGGGACTCCGTTGCGCCAGGCCGAGCATTTGGCGATGAACTTTCCTGAACGCCCGCCCAAATGGTCGGACTTTTTATCCCCCGATGAATTCTGATGTGCACCAAAGGGCCCCCAATTAACATTCATCCCCAGGCAGGTGCGTGTTGTTTAGAGTTGGTACCCTTTTCATACCCTTTTCAGCTTGGGTTTTAATGGGACGCCAAAAGGCAACACGCCATGGATCTAGGGGTTGATTCTCTTCATTATTTTCAACCATCGTTCTTGGAGCTTCCAAAAAAGAATTCCTATCACTGGTTGGAAGGTCCCCCTTGAAGGGAGATGTCTTTTAATTGAGGGACCCCTAAAATGGGTGGTTTTCCTTCTGGTTTCTCTTTACCACCAAACAAAACAGGGACCCGCCAAAAAAAACACCCCCATTCCCCCCGTAACGGCGACAAACAAGTTTCGAGGAGCAGCGAGCGTGGTTCAATCCTCAGACTTGACCTACGCCATCGGCTCCCTATGGCGTCAGAGGCCAGAAGTTTCAACTGAAAAGCAGTCCAACGCCTTTTGGGTTTTGGTTTGGTGTGTTTTGTGAGTTTACCTCCGTTGGCTTCAACTGGATGGCCATCGTGGGTTTTGAGCGTATTGTGGTTGCCCTGTGCCCGAATGGAAGGTTTGGAGTGCTGCTTTGAAGGTGTACGTCCGCATTGAGTTTCAGAGACCATGCATTCATGTCCCACCAATGCAAAGCACTAGTTCGGGGACGGACAACCGTTGCTTGCAAACTTAGGTGCAGAGTTTTTCCCTGTTGTCTCAAACAATAACTAGTCATGCGCGGTAACCGTTTCTCATTTTTGCGTGCCACTTCAATGGACGCTAGGGGCTTGACCTATGGTAGAGCATCATTTGGGACCGTGATGTCAATATGTCAGAGCACATCTTCCTCAACATGTTGGGTTTCTTCATGACAAACCGTTCAAAGGTGTCCCGGCAAGTTTCGACTGACACATGGGTAAAGGGTGGGATAATTGGCTCTTGGCTATGAAGTTAAATGAGAAATGCTCTGCCAAATGGTCGGACTTTTTATCCCCACTGAATTATGATGTCCACCAAAGGGCCCCCAATGCACATTGAAAATGACCCAGGCAGGTGCGTGTTGTGTAGTACCCTGTTCATACTCTTCTCGGGTTGGTTTGCAATAGGAAACCAACGGGACAACACCAACAAACAAAAAATGGCCTGGAAATGCCTGAGCAGGGCCCCTCAAACAGGTTTAAGGCCTGTTTTGGCCTCATTTCACCGCCTTCAAAAAAAAGACCTAGTCTCGGTAATTTCAAAACACCACCCTCAACCCTGGAGTCTTAGACGCACATTGTGTCTGGTGGGTTGGTCTCTTGAGCCAGGCTGGAGATTTTGCTGAGCATCACCTGCATGGCGGCGAACATTGCGGCGGTGGCGCTGGACTTTATGTTCAACACGGAGCCTTCTCAGCCCGTTTTGGGTTTACCGGAGTGGGATTCCAATGAAGGTCTTCACCCAAACTTTCCAAAGACCGGACTAAACAAGGTGGGTGTATCTTTTTTGTTTTATTGGACCCCCCGAAAAACAGGTGGTTGTCCGTTTGGTTGCCTTTTAAAGTCACCCACAAAAAAAAGAAAAACAAAGGGTACCCTCAACGAAGCGACACACCCAGTTTGTTGGCACAAGGACCATGCTTTACCCTTCTAGGCGTCCTTTTTTGGGGGTGTGAAATGGGGCCGCACGACGGGAATCAAAAGAAGCAATCATTCTGTTCGGCCCCCCCTTCTCCTTCTTTGACACATACCAACGTAAGTTTGCGCAGTGCTTATATTCGGACGTAAGAACTTGCACGTTGTCAAAGGACTCGGACTCTGGACATTCGGGCGTTGATTATTCTACACACGTTCGTGCAGGAGCTGTCCAACTTTTTGCAGATCGTCGCCTTGAGCGTCGATGGCTTGTGGCGTCTCGGCTTTGCAGAAGTAACCTCAGGCCCCAGGGCTACAGTGAGGGTTGGGTTTGTCTCAGAAGCGGGTTTGCCTCACCATGGTCGGTTTCCTTTGGGCGATCCAATGAAAGTTCCTTCTTTGCTTGCCCGAGGACAGCCTGCTGCATCACCTGGCTCTCTGGCATTCGCTTGAACGCCCCGCGGGTCCACAAGGACAAGGAAGTGAAGAAGGAGGCCATGGTGGGTTCGGTGGGATGGGCATGGAGTGCACTCAAGGAAGACGTGTCTTCTCGTTTTCAGAGACTGGTGGACAATAGATGGGAAAACCAAGTTGGTTGCGAATTTGGTGAGTTCCAGTATGGTTGGTGATGCTCACAGTGTGTAAAGTTCCTGGTTGAGGGGGACAAAGATCTTTCCGTCAGCCGCTTTTGGGAACTGGTCCCACATGGACCCATCCCCTTGGGGCATTTTTTGTTGTTCTGACTCCTTGCCTCAGCTTCAGCTGGGCCTTTGGCCCTGCAGTGGACTTCCGAGTTGAATCATTTTAGTCTGTAAACGTTGCCGTTTTGCAGAGGGTATATCGCCAGTTTTTGGGGTGGACGACCTTATCTGCAAACACTTGACGTTTTGGCGTGAGTTCGGACAAGCTTAAACACCATGGGCGGCCGTAAGAACCTGGCTGTAGGGGACAGAGCCAACAATGGATACCCTGTGTTTGGTGGTTTCCAATCAAAAACCGCCAGGAAAATCACTATTTTGTGGCTCTCCGGCCTGTTAGGTCTTCCCATGGGTGTTAGGAAGACCCCTTGAATACCAAACTTTGACTATGACTCCAGGGACAACTGTTTCCCACAAGTATAGCCCTGGGCCAACATTTCCTGAGACTAACCAGACGTTTTGCACACACCTTGATAGGACAGCTCAACGGGTGAGTTTATGATTGTTGCCCCTTGAACTGCTTTGTCCCCAATGGTTTGGTTGGCCGCTCTTGGGAAAATGCGCAGCCAAGACCTCAAAATGTTTGGACATCGACCGTTTCCAACCACTAACCAGCAGAAGGTGGACATTGGCTTGCAATTAGACCAATCAGATTGTAGATTGGCCCCCTTGACCAAGTATGGCAGTCAGAACATATCTCCTTTTTGTGCACCTGGACCCTCAAACTAGGTAGCCGGCTGTCTTGCCGCCTTTGCGAATATGCAATTGACACGTCGAACATTCCCTGCTTTGTACAGTGTATTCTGATTTGTCTTGTACTGGGCTTCTGGAAAAAAGTGCACGCCAAAACTAAAAACCCGCCGATGTAAATCAGTGATCGTGTGAAAGAAAACGGACGTTTCCAAGTCACGAGCATGCACCAGTGAGCAAGCGACAAGCATAGCTGATATACAAGTATCCAGAGCAAGCCGTCAATGCAACATGCTCAAAGAAAATATGTCTGCACTGAGACCCTGCCAGCATGAGACAAGTCGGGGGTGAGAAGTCTGCCGTGAGCTCATGTATGTAGAGCGTTAACATATGTGCCAGCATGTGCGCATGTAAGCCTGCAGCGCGTGGAAGGGCACGTTAACATATGTGCCAGCATGTACGCAAGTCCCCATGCAGTGCATGGACTGGCACGTTAACATATGTGACAGCATGTACGACACACGCAGCCATGCATCCTGTGGACGGCCGTTGCGACGCGCAAAAAAATGGTATAATATGCCACAAATAGTAGCACATTTGCAAATTCCTGCACGAATTACGCGGAACAACGGACCGAAACCTGCGTTTTGGGCTCATGAATTGCCAAAACAAACCAGGAGTTTTGCACGCAAAAACATGGAATGAACGCTGGCGTGCAAGGAAAAAACTAAACAAAGCAGAGTTATTAAGAGTCCGCATCAAGAGAAGGGAAACAAGGACAACGGAAAAATAGTCAAAACAGGGTTTGGGCGGCGAGTGAGCCGGCTGGCTCAAATCGGATATTTCATATAGTTTGAGGTCCAGGTGCTCCTCTTTTGTGGAATGAATTGGAGCCGGTTCGTCCTTGAGGTGCAGTATCGGCAGCCCTGCACCTGTCAAGAGGCGCCTTGGAAGCTTTGATTTCGCTCCCGGTTCTCGCCGCGGGTTGGTTTGGGACGCGGGGTTGGGGGGTTGGGGGGTTGGGGGGTTGGGAGGTTTGGGGGTTGGGGGGTTGGCGGGTTGGCGGGGTTGAGGGGTTGGGGGGTTGGGGGGTTTGGGGTTAAGGGGTTAAGGGGTTAAGGGGTTAAGGGGTTAAGGGGTTAAGGGGTTGAGGGGTTGAGGGGTTGAGGGGTTGAGGGGTTGAGGGGTTGAGGGGTTGAGGGGTTGAGGGGTTGAGGGGTTGAGGGGTTGAGGGGTTGAGGGGTTGAGGGGTTGAGGGGTTGAGGGGTTGAGGGGTTGAGGGGTTGAGGGGTTGAGGGGTTAAGGGGTTAACTTTTCTTCGTTTTCAGACAGTCCTTTGCCATGTTGAGGGTCCCCTATTTTCCAGTTTGAAGCCATGGAGCTGATAGGCCCACATTGTCTCAGTGGTTTTCCAAGGAAACCGCGGTTTCGGGTGCAAAGGGGCTTGCTGTTGGGGATACCACCTGAGCCTTTTGGTTGTTTGGGTGGGTGGGTGGAGAAAGGTCAGGGAGCCTTTTCGTCGAAAAGATGACAAACACATCTTTGGGCCGAAAGCCTTTGAAGCTTTGGGCCACATCTCTACCCGTGTTGGAGCAACCGCGTTTTCGGAAGAACAAGGGCAACGGGCTCCCTCCAAACCCCCCTCCCCACCCACCCCCGCAAAGGAACAAACAGTCCCGGGGTGCCGGATCATTTCCGGCTGAAAAGCAGTTTGTCATTGGGGTATGTGTCACGATGTTTTCGGTCTGGTGCGGTCAAGAAGCCTGCTAGGCCAAGGCAGAAGGAAGCTCTTTGGTTTGGGGGGGATCCCTTTTGAACCAATTTCACATTTTCAGGTTCGCACAAATTATGGTTGCCGGAATCAACCATATTTCAGGCAAGAGCTGAGAGCAGGGAGCCCGTTTGCTGAGGTAGGGCCATGATGTTTCTCAAAGCGGTGGACCCCCTTTGGTTGGTATCAAAGGGGAAGCCAAAAGGAACACCAACCGTTGTGGTTGTACTTGTTTGATGAAGACCACAGGCTAGGACCGGAATGTAAACACTGCACCTCAGTGGGACATGATTCCGCGCCATTTTGATCCAGGCAGGGTCCTGCGACGGCTGCATCTGGGAGCAGAACGTGGCTTCCTTGGCCCGCCGCCAGATTCTGCCAGGAGAAAAAGGGTGGGCGGGTGGGTAGAATGAAAATCAGAGCTCTTTTGCATGAGATTCTGGTTTGCAATAGCTGAGACGGGGCTATGATCAGGGAGGCAGGCAAGTAGCCAGATGATTTGCCTTCGGCCGTTTTCTTGCTTGGGGGAATCAAGGAAGCTCCTCTGAGAGGAATCATAGAAGGGGCCTGTCGTCGAACGGGGAACCCACCATGACACATGAAAGGATCCCGCACTGAAAATGATCAGGCACAAAAAAGATCAAACAACTTGACCCTTGCCATGAATAGCAACAGTCCGGCCCATGCCGACTTCCAGTGGCTTGCGATGCGATGGATTCTCCGGGTTTGGTCTCCAGTCACCAGAGACCAATGTTCAACCCTTGTGGCAAGGCCATATTTGCTGGCAAGCGCAGAGCAAGAAAATAAGAACGGGCCAGTCCGGCGCGAGAGGAAACGGGTCCCTCTCAACCAATTTGTGAGTTGCCCACCAAACAGGCTTGCTCCGAAAGCCCTTTGTGATGCTTCGAGCAGTCCGAAGGTCAATTTTTAAATACTCTTGAACGATTGTTGTTTTTGTTCAAGATAGTAACAACTGACAAACAACGAAAGCCACAGCATGCATATGTTTACAATTGCCTCGAAGGATGTTCTAAACTCTAAACCTCATTTGTTTGACCATTTCAATATGAGTTGCCTCTGGCGATGTTGCCAAGGGAAGAGCACCAGAGAGACCAGGGCCTTGTCACAGAAGCATTTGGAATGCGTCCAGTCTTTGCCTCCCTGCCTCTCCCTTCCTCCCACCCTGCCTCCCTTCCTCCCACCCTTCCTCCCTTCCTCCCTTCCTCCCTTCCTCCCTCCCTTCCTCCCTCCCTCCCTCCCTCCCTCCCTCCCCCCCTCGCTTCCTTCCTTCCTTCCTTCCTTCCTTCCTTCCTTCCGTCCTTCCTTCCTTCCTTCCTTCCTTCCTTCCTTCCTTCCTTCCTCCCTTCCTCCCTTCCTCCCTTCCTCCCTTCCTCCCTTCCTCCCTTCCTCCCTTCCTCCCTCCTCCTCCCTCCCTTCCTCCCTTCCTCTTCCTTCCTTCCTTCCCTTCCTTCCTTCCTTCCTTCCTTCCTTCCTTCCTTCCTTCCTTCCTTCCTTCCTTCCTTCCTTCCTTCCTTCCTTCCTTCCTTCCTTCCTTCCTCCTTCCTTCCTCTCTTTCCTTCTCTTCCTTCTCTCCTCTCTTCCTCTCTTCTCTCTCTTCCTCTCTTCCTCTTCCTTCCTTCCTTCCTTCCTTCCTTCCTTCCTTCCTTCCTTCCTTCCTTCCTTCCTTCCTTCCTTCCTTCCTTCCTTCCTTCCTTCCTTCCTTCCTTCCTTCCTTCCTTCCTTCCTTCCTTCCTTCCTTCCTTCCTTCCTTCCTTCCTTCCTTCCTTCCTTCCTTCCTTCCTTCCTTCCTTCCTTCCTTCCTTCCTCATCGGTCCCGAATTCCTGCGGTCAGGACAGCTCCTGGACCTCTACGCTGCACTGGGCGGCGACGGTGACGGCACGCCGGACCCCCACCACTTGCGTGTCAGCGGCTGGACGGCAATTGGCTTGAACTGCGAGCAGGTCTGCGAGTGGGTCGCGCCTTTTACCCTTTCAACTCACTCCCGAGTCCCTGAACTTGACTTTTTGGGAAGACCATTTTGGTGGCAAACCAAAAGTTTGGACTTTCTGGGTCCTGATTGATTTCCCTTCTTGATACTGAAAATCATCAATTTGGGCCCGTTTATGGTGAGTTTTCAACTTGGGGTGCTGTTTACAGGGAAAATACAGAGAACCCAGTTTTTACGTTGGTTTTAAATGGGGGCAAAAGAACCCCCCCCCCCGAGCCCTGCCGCATCCTCGAGGCAAGACCCAGTCCATTGTGGCCATGGTCTTGGGTGCGGAAGCCATGCCCCACTTCGAGCCGGAGAGGCCTCCAATTGGAAGCGCAAAGCCAGTTCGCAGCTGGGTGCATCTGGGGCTATTTGTCTATGACGGTTTCTACCCCCAACCCAACCAGTCACTATATAAAGGGTTTGTGTGCCATTTTCTCAGGTGGTTTAGAGGGAGTGGACGCCTTAGAAAGGTGTGTTCCCCCAAAGTCGGAAGGACGCAGAGTTGGGTTCAATCCCCTCAAACGACCTCAAGAATAAAATTGACTTAGACCATGTTTCGTTTACCCAAGGCTGTGGTTGAGTGCAGCCCCCGTTCTTTTTGAGCAGAGCGGCCGATCGGGTGCAGATGTGGTGGTTTGGATTGGTGGTTTGGCGATTTAAACTTGCTGTGGAGCTGAGATGAGGCCCGCTGTTGAATACCCCCCAATGCGATGTTGATTCGCCATGGAATGGCCGTGGCGCTTAACGCCCCAAAGTCACTACCCTAAGCACCAGAAAGGACCCTCCATTTAAGGGGAAGGGGCTTTTGGAACGTGAACTGTGCCGGTTCGATGCTTAGGGTAGCCACACAACTCACTAGGCTTCAATGGTTCCCCTTGCTACTCTGAATCAGTCTGGGCAAATAACAACAAGCTGGGGGGAACACAAGCTTACCCATGCAGGTTCTTGACTGGATTCCGTATTTCCAAATTCGAGCATGTTTCACGTTGTGCCAAAAAGGGAAGAGCCCCCCAATTCTGTTTGATCCCAAAAATAGCCCGACCACCATGTCTCTATCTTGTTTTGTGTGTGTCTCATTTTTGCTCTTTATTTCGAACGATGAGCAATGATAAGTAAATATGAAGCACGGGGTGCCCTCTTTTTTAGGGCACTGTCGGGTTCGCTGATCCGCAGGTCCACCACTGGGGACGTGGTGTGGCAAGCCATCATCCCCGCCACCGCCTCCAGAGGCTCCGGAGCCGTGGGTGTGTCTTTCTTTTGGGGGTACCCCCATTGGTGGTTTCAAAGGCAAACCCAAAGGAACCAGGTTTTCCATGGACCCATGGCAGCGGGCCCAAGGGGAACTACCACAAGGAAAATCCGCGCCAAAGAGTCTGGCTTAGATTGGGTTTGGTGCCCCAAATGGGTGTCTTTTTTGGAGTTGGTACCCCTTTTTCGGTGGTCACCACAATTTTGGGGTGTCCCCCCGAAGCAAAGACATACCCAACAGGCTGGATTTTTGGGGACGGATCGCGAATCAGCAGGACATGGACGGATGGCAGGTGGATCGCAACAAGGAGGTGTCCAACCACCAGCCAGATAACACCATCTGGGCGCATGGAAACTTCTGCCTATTCTGGGCTTCGAGCAATTCAAAAACCAACGAGGGTCTTTACCGGGGGATCCATTTCCGATTTCGGGTGTGGGAATTCTTGTACACATGGTTTGCAGAAGGATGCATTTGGAGCAGTCACAAGATCACCTTTTCCTGAGGATCCCTCGAAACTGTGTCGGTTGTGGGCAACTTGGTACCAGTTCTTGTGCCCTGGCAGCGCTTGAGTGATCAAGTGGTAGGCATGGGAATCCTTCTTTGGCGGAAAGGGTTCGACGGATCGGGCACAAGGTAAACCATGCGGGTCCTTTGCGTATCCAACTCGTATTTCCGGTTTGGATATCTGCAAGGGAAACCCAAGAGGCATCGCGAGCCCACTTGTGGTCGCCAGATAAGACACCTCACTTCCCGGAAAATACGTGGACTGGCCGTCCCGTGTGTGTGTGTGTGTGTGTGTGTGTGTGTGTGTGTGTGTGTGCGTGCGTGTGTGTGTGTGTGTGTGTGTGTGTGTGTGTGTGTGTGTGTTTAAGTGTGTGTGTTTAAGTGTGTGTGTGTGTGGTGTGTGTGTGTGTGTGTGTGTGTCTGTGTGTCTGTGTGTCTGTGTGTGTGTGTGTGTGTGTGTGTGTGTGTGTGTGTCTGTGTGTCTGTGTGTCTGTGTGTCTGTGTGTCTGTGTGTCTGTGTGTCTGTGTGTCTGTGTGTCTGTGTGTCTGTGTGTCTGTGTGTCTGTGTGTCTGTGTGTCTGTGTGTCTGTGTGTCTGTGTGTCTGTGTGTCTGTGTGTCTGTGTGTCTGTGTGTCTGTGTGTCTGTGTGTCTGTGTGTCTGTGTGTCTGTGTGTGTGTGTTTGGGAGTTGTGGCCCTTTGCAGCTTGGTTTCAAGAGACACCTATAGGGAAACCGAAGCCCTGTCAGAGGTCGCCCTAATTGCTTACCTGGAGCATTTTTCCTTGAGTTTCGTTTGCGAGGTGGTGCTTCACGGGGTCAGATGATGTGTTGCTGGCTGTGCTCATGTGTTTGATTTCAATCACGCTCAACCTGATGCTTCTTTCAAGCTCAGCTAAGCTCTCCGGCTTCTTCTGTCTCACTGATCTTATTTCAGCACTGCCCAGGTCCAGCTGATGTTCAATTGAGTTCCGGAGCAACCATGGAGGGATTCCATGGACCCCAAAAAGATGAGCCGACTCGCAAACAATCAGATCTTGAGGATTTCATTCAGGGGCCCACATATGAGCTAAGTCGCTCAATCGACAATCATTGCAGTGGAACGAGCTCACCCCTGATGGTTGACATACAACCTTGGTTACAACTTACTTATTGCGTAGGTTGAACAGCCAAGTGAAACGGCCATGAATCTTAATAGCGAACCACCTCAAAAGTGGTTGGTGGACATGATTTCCTGCCTAAATACTGTTTACCAAAGGATGCCCGATTGAAATTCAAACCCACACATTTTCCAACGAGGCAACTTGAGGATTCTATGCGCCCCAATTGACTTTGGCTTGATTAAAATGTCGCAGGATGCCTCTAAACGGTTTTTTGGTTGCCACTGGCCAGAAGCAACAGATTTAGTTGTCTTCGAAGTGGGAATGCCCCAGATTGGCATCACTGTTTTTCTTGCAACTTTTCAAAGCAATGCGGTAAGGCATCTGCAAAAGTATGCTTCAAAAGGTGGTTTAAACGGACACAGCTCCATAACTCATTCTGAGGCCCTCTCAAAATGTGGGCCCACAAAACCAGGGACCCAATTTATTTGGAAACATCTATGATCCCCTGATCCCCCTACAAGTGTCGTGTTGTTTGGTCAAATTTCTATGCCAAACTTTGGTTCACTCGGCCTCCATGCTTTTCGTGAGCGCGTAGGCCGCGACGGCTGCGGCAGCTCGTTGGCCAGCTTGCTCCCCGCGGGCCCGGCGGACCTGGCGCCGCGCATGGCGCCTCGCCGGGGAGCGCTGCCCGGAAACTTGTGTTGGGAGCAAGGGACAAATAGGATTTTCTTGGGGGGATGGGTTGACCAAGCCGAACCCTCAGAAGAGATAACGTTTTGGAGAGAGGGCCATTTTTTGTGGGTCTGCCGGAGAGAACGGGACAGAGGCGAGGAACAAGCAACGTATCATCCTTATATTTCTGGAAGAACCAATTCCGCTGATCTTTGGACAATTAGCAGATCAAATCACAACACAGGACTCGCCAAGATGAGGTTCTTCTACTTCGTTGATTCATTGATGTAAGGAATAAGAAAGCGAAGGCCATGTTGAAAAGATTCTTATTTTGCTAGTTGGACACCCTTCTGGGGTTCCATGTACAATTGCATTTGTTTTTGTGTTTTAGTTGTCTTCTTTGGATCTAAACGCATTGGTTTGCCTTTCCACCCGTGACAGTAGTTTTGCTTCAGGTTCCCTTAACAACTTGTGGAACAGAACGTATAAGCATAAACTAGTCCAAAAAAGAACAGGGCTTTAGCTGTTGCCCCTCTTTTGGAAACAAAGGGGCCAAACAAAATGATGCAAGCAGCAAGGATCTGGACGCAAAAGAAACTTGTTTACCTCCTAAAAAATGTGAAAGGTAAGCTTGGTTTTGGAGCAAGGAGTGAGCTCTCCGATTAAAAGTATGGTATTCGAGTCGACCCAATTCATGTTCCTGGAGTCTCTATGACCCTCAAACAGGCTTTCTCGCTGGTAACCCCATTTTTCAAGTGTCATGGAGACTCCAACCTGCTTCTGTTTGGGATTTCGGTCAGCCTTCATCTTTTATTCTGGGAAGAAACGCGGGTATACCCACCCCTCCCTTGTAGAAATAAAAGCAACTATGGGAAGGAATCGTCCCTTTGTTGAGGCCAAGGCCCCCATCCTTCCATACATTGCGTGGGGATAGTGTGCTGCTCAGAAAATATGGCTGGCTCGTGTGTCTTTCAGGGTACCACGGTTGAAATGATGTTAAAGGAAAGCTACAAGGAGAACACTATTGTCGGGCAGGGAGGGTGAAAGGACAGATTTCAACACGTGCCCATAGGAGCTGATATCGTAGCGTAAGCCGGGGGGGGGGGGTCTGCATAGCGTGAGCTAAGCTATTTGGATAATACAAGTAGATGGCTACATGGCGGGGATCTATATAGGATCGACACAGCCCATGCAGACGTGACTCAGAATCAAAGCCTGGTAGGGTTTTGAAGTCTACCCAAAATCATGATTCACAAATCGAAAGGGCGGAAGCCCGCACCTATTTGCGCACTCTACCCCCCAATGCCCTGGCTCACCTGTCTTGGGAGCCCCCTACTCGCACACTTTCACTCGCGCATAAATATGTTTTTTTTGTTCACGAATACTACTTTCAATGACGGGTCAAGCATAGGGGCTACACAAAAAGCACCTTATTTCTGTGCGACTGAAAAGTGTGCCAGTAGGGCGCGTGAGTTCGCCATTCGTCCGCTCGCGAGTTCCACTCGCACACTCGCCAGCCCCCCTTGCTTAAGCGAGCATCACGACCCGGGAACCCTTTTCTTTGTACAACTCTAAGTTCACCACCAAACCCACTGGCTAGAGATGAGATGGTTCACGTCCAAACGCGATTTTCGGCTGACGCTTTGGGGCCTCGATTCGGCTGAGGTGACCCACCACTGGGGCAACCGCTTCGTGGATCTGGTGGCTGCGGTGGTGGCGGATGCTTTGGGCTTGAACCACTTCGACACCTTGGCGCAGAACTTGTCCGAGGCGATTGGGGCGATGGTCGGGGTTGGAGTCGGGGTTGGGAAGGTTTGGGGTTTGGGGGGGGGGGAGGTTTGGGGAGAGTTTGGTGGTTGGGAACCACAACTCAAACAGGATCGCAAAAAAGGCTTGGTTTTGGCAGGGTCCTTTCAAAACATGAGCTTTGCCGCCAGGCCAAAAAGGACTCACCATGAGACCAAGGGGGAAGAGCCAACAGGGACTTGTGTCACTCCCGTTATTTACCCTCTGCATCCTTACGTGGAATTGGTGGGCATCGACCCTTTAAGAAGCTACTTAGGAAACCATGGAGGGTTGAAGGCAACCAAGGCCATGACCCACCAAAGTGTATACATTGGTTTAGTCCTCATCTTGAAAAGGTTTGTTTTCTCAGCGGTGAAAGCAGACAGCACTATTCACTATTGAGGGGTTGGTGTGGGTATGTGTATGTATTAGGTTCGGGGGTGGGGTTCGGGGGGTTGGATCCGAGTGCTTGAACAGCACCAGCGGCAGGGCTCGCGAGAATAATTTCCTTGTGTTTGTATGTTTGCACATGCCTCTTTCACATACCGCTTCGGTAAATGCCACAAGCCTTGCTGATGTTCATACCCTTCCCCTTTTGGGGTTCGTGTATACCTCGTAAGTGGGGCAACCAAGGGAGTATAACCTCTTAAGTGGGGAAAGAAAGCCAAGGGGTGAACACGGGGTACGTTCTTCCCTTGGAAGCTTCGCCAGGACCACGCAGGGCGGCGCTCCGAGGTGAACAAGCTCAAGGAGAAGCTCTGGAACCGGGGGCTCGGCGACCAGCCCTACTGGATCTGCGCGGTCTGTGCCTGTGAGCAACACGTGTTTTTTTGGGCTCGTCGTTTTCTCCTTGCCAGAGAAAAGGCGTGCAAACAAAATATGCTTATGGTGAAAATGAAAATAAAGAAATACCAGGCCCTAGTCGCCTTCCTCGCCTTCGAAGAGAAGCCAGGCTGTTTTTGGTCAACATGTCCTGATTTGTGAATCCAGTTGACTTAGGCTTGAGACGTTGTGAGGTTCCGTCAAAGTATCCTGGTTTGCCGAAAGATCCAATTCCGCCAGGTAAAATGATGTCTAAAAGAGGAGTGGGCCTCGGATCAGCAAGCGGAGAGTAAAGAGGGTGCCCAAAAGACCCCAAAGGCTGCGTTAGCTCTGATAAACAGGCTTGGTTTGAAGGGTTCTGAAAGGAAACATCCAAAAAACCCTCAGAATCAGCTGGTGAGAGTGTTTTTACCACTGGCTCATCCGGCCAGACTGCGCTTCAAGTGACCCGGCCCCTTTTGTTTCCTGGGCCCAGAAGTGTCGGAAGTCGGTCCATTGAGGAGCATGGGGAACTCAAACAACTTCCAAGACTTGCTCCCATTGGCCACTCTGGGGCCATTGTTTGTTTTAAGGGGATCCCGTGATGAAGCAGTCACGGGGCTGGATTCGAATCCCCATGGTGTCACAAGGAAATGTGTTTTTTTCCACCCGGGCCCCGCCCAAACGTTACGTCTTTGGCCTCTTCTTGGGGGGTGCCTTTTTTCCCCACATGTCGGGGTCTCCTCCAAAAACATGCTAGTCTCCAGATGAAACAGAAGAATATGGGTGGATCGTTTTCTTTGTTTGGAGTTGGTACGCCTTTTTTGGTGTTTTTGAGGGAAGCCTAAGAGGAAAAGCACCGATTTGGGGGTCCCATAAGAAGAACTATTTTCTGCATACCCCGGATGTGAACCAAATCTCGGCGAAGAGTTTGGGGCATGATCCTGTGCCCCCGATTTTGACACATGCCCATGCGAGGCATCAACCAGCACAGCAGCATTTGCAACAATCCCCGCAGCTTCTGCGACACGGTGACGGGTCAGCCGGTGCCGTGCTGCGAGTGCGATACGCCGAAGATCCTGAACGACCAGTACCTCCAATGTGAGTTGAACAAGCCCCTTTGGCCTAGGCAGGCCTCATGCCCCCAGTTTCTGAACTGAAACTGTTTGAGAAGTTTTGGTGAGAAGTTACTGGCCCCACTTTCCCATATTCCCCAAGAGCAAGTATTTGAGAAACACGGAAGGCGCCCAAACAGATCCTGATCAGGATGTGCACCTTGCCCCCTTGAATTTCGAATTGCGGAGGGTTGGCTTGTCTTTTTTGGAGTTGGTACCCCTTTCTTGTCGTTTTGAAAGGGGATTTCCAAAACGGACAGCCGAATCCATTTTTGGCGGGCCCCCCCAAAAGTCTCCCTGGCGCATGGGGATGGCCAAGCGTTTCAAAATGGGGGTGTATTTTTTGTTGAAGGGCAGCCAAAAGGAAAACAACCATTGTTTTTGGGGGACCCTAAAAAGAGACATAGAAATGGTTGATCTGTTGTTTGAAGGAACCCATTTGTTGAGTCCTTGTTTTTTTAGAGACATCATAGGGATTGTGGGCATGCCGGAATTCCTAAGGGACACAAGGAGTTTCCCTCCGCTTTTTTTGGGCAGGAACACGTGGTCCCGTTATTCCCGCGAGGCCACATGTCTAACCATGTGAGGTAAGAACGTAATAGGTGTCAAGCAAGTTGCACCCCTCCAAATCTTGCTGCTTTTCAATAGGGAACAAATAAGGGTTTTTGGAATGCACCCTGAAAGGAAGCCACAAGGCATGGTGTAAAGGGGTCATTCCCCCATTCCCTGCTGAGAACCAGCAAGACGTGGTTTATGTTGCCAACAAGGCGTCCAGGGCACACACACACACATCAACACAAGCTTTAATTTAGGATCAAACAGAAATAGTCCAGACCATGTAAAGGAGACGGCAGTTAGTAAGTTGGTATTTTGTGCACCCCGGAGCAAAGGGCGGTTAGTAAGTTACTATCCGGTGCAGAGCCAGAGAATAAGTTTCGAGTTGGTAAGTTAGGAGATTCGCAAGTTAGTACGTTGACAAGAAAAGTGGAACTGGAGGAAGGGGTAGTTAGTAAGTTAGTATGGAACAGGGGGCAGTTGGGGTGGTAGTAGTGCTGCTGCTGCTGATGCTGTTACTACTACTACTACTCCTCCTCCTGCTGCTGCTGCTGCTGCTAGTGCTACTACTGCTACTGCTACTGCTGCTGCTACTGCTACTGCTACTGCTACTGCTACTGCTGCTACTTCCACTGCTACTGCTACTGCTACTGCTACTGCTACTGCTACTGCTGCTGCTACTACTTTGTTACTCCTTGCCACGCATAGCGGTGCTTCCAGCACATATCGAAACTCAATCACCATGTTGGCGGAGTGAGCAAAATGAATTTAAGCGTCTTCTGAGTAACCGGTCACCCCGAAACGCCTCTGCAACCATTCTGGTGAAGCGTTGCCACAAAGCAGGAAAGGGCCCTGCTACTGCTACTACTGCTCTGCTACTACTGCTACTGCTACTACTGCTACTGCTACTACTACAACTACGACTACTGCTACTGCTTCTACTACTACTACTACTACTACTACTACTACTGCTGCTACTGCTACTACTACTACTACTACTACTACTACAACTACTACTACTACCACCCTCAAAAAAGACAGACCCAGGTGAGGTTCTGTTGGGTATGACAACCCCACATGAGCACTCAAAACGCGGGATGCATGGTACAGTTCCAGACACAAAGCGTCTTGATGTTCTTCACATGTTTTGTTTGTTTTTCTCGGGCACCCTTTTTGGAGTTGGTTTGAAGGGGGGAGAACCGAAGCCATTGTGGGTCCCTTAAAGCCTCTGTGGGTCCCTTAAAGAACACAGACCCAACCAATTGAGCAATCTTCTTCCCAGACACCATGACCATTGTTGCTTTTTCGTGGGTTGTTTCCATCAGTCAACCATGCCTTTGGTCCCGCAGCATGAGTAACGAGCGATTCCACCCGGGAGTAGATTCGCAAGGCTATCATTGGGGATTCCTTATTTCTCATTTGACTGTTTTTTTGAGTGTATCCCTTTCTGGTGGATTCAAAAGGAAACCACAAGAAACGCCACCGTTGGGGGGGTTACATGCTCTCTGAGGTTTTGGTTTCTAGGAGTTGCTTGTAGGTCTTAGGCGTTGCCTTGTTCTTATATCAAGCCTCATTGTGGGGTCCCAGTAGTTAAATCTTAGATACGCCTTATACCTGTATATATCCTATGGCTTCACTGGGTGATTTGGGGGTGACGCCAATCCGGGTCTGTTTGAAGATTTGGGGGGGCCCCCAAAGATGTGGTTTTCTTTCTGGCTTCCTCTTAAAACCAGCCAGAAGCCGGGTTTCCCGAAAGAAGGCAAGCCCATGTTTGACTGAGCTGCGGTTTAGGTTTTCCGCGTGATCCTTTTTTCTTACAGGTTTTTAGGTGACCTCATTGGCTCTGAGGTTCGATGACATGATGATGCACCTCTACTACGTCCACGGGAGCGCCTTTGTTCAGGTCCTCGCCATCGACAGCCACTCGCCGGGGGGGGGGGGATAGAACAACTGGGGTCTCCTCTGAGAATATGGGACTGTCTTTCTTTGAGGGTGCCCCTTTTGTGGTCTCAAAGCAAAAACGAAAGCCGTTCGCTGCGGGGTCCAAAGGACGAAAATGACACCGAATCTGAACATTCCCGTTTGTTTGCGTACAGAGTCGGACCAAGACAAGGGGTGCTAGGAAAGAATTCAATCAGAAGGAGACTTATTTAGCACCAAACTTAGCTCGTCAGACTTAGGCCACTCCAAAAGTGGTGCGTGGCGCACTTTTAAACAAGGTCTCTTGTTTGATCCACTGAATCCGCCAAAACCACTGTGGGGGAATCAGGCACTGGCTGACTACGGGGTCTCTCATTCTTGGAGTTCAACATGTTGGGCTCGCCTGCCCGAGGAACGCACATATATATATATATATATTTAGCATATATATATATATACACACCATGCTGACCCATTCAACAGGGATCGGGTTGTTCCATCTCAGCAACACCATGCCATGCGTGAACCGCATGGTTGGATGAACAGCTCTGAGGTTCACAGGAATTCCAGAGCCTACAGGTTCCTTCATTGCGACCTTAGAGGTTTCCCCCCCGTGAGAAAGCTCAAACCTTAACGGAGGGGAACCGCCTCCTTCCGGTGTCATTTTTGTTGGCCTATTCTTATTCGGAGGTTCGGTAAGGAAAATCCGCAATTAAGCCAATCGGTTCCAAGTACCTTGGTGACCCTAAACGGCTTCAACAAATGGCTTCCTTCCGACTGCCAATAGAAGGGCCTAAACAAGAATTAATGGTTTACTCCCAGAATAGACTAAAGTTGGTTTCAAAGCACCAAAGAAAACATTTTCTATTTTCTTATGCGCCTTATACTATACATATGAGAACCTCCGTCAAACAGGCCGGCCCCTTGACTGTTGGTTTCAAAATCCAACCGATAACAAAGGCGCACCCAGGGGCGATTCCTATATTTTCCCTTGTGGTGGCTTTCAACTTCACTGTTTTGGCGCATTTCAGCAGGGTGGAAAGAGAAAGCAAAGGAAGACCCACCACTTTTAGGAGTCCATGTCCTATTTTGTCTTTTTCGGAAATCTACGGGTCCGCGGGTGGCAGCCACTCTGCTCGGTTCAGGGGACTTTGAGATCTTCTCGCGAGCCTGGTGCCTTGCGGAGATGGTTCAGGCGGATGCATGCCGGATGGACCAGTGGCTCGGCCGAGCCGATCGACGGTGGGCGCCTGGACGGTTTTGCGTCTCAGTCCCTCTTTTGGCTTTCAGGGAGCTACCTACAGAAGCAGAAAGCCCTTGTTTGGTCTTCAGCCTTTCATTGCCTACCCATTGAGGGCGTCATGGTAGGGCACTGTCCTGTGGCTGTTTTGCAATGCCAAAGTGGTTCTAGGGATGAGCATCAGCGGCATGGCGTTATTCGTGCGTTTCCTGCGCTGATGAAACATTATTTGACTCACTTCCATCATTCAATCTCATGTAATTCGTGTCAGTGAGTTAGACCCATCCCTTCCCTGCATCACTCTCTCACTCTTTCCTTCTCCCAGCCATTTCTCTCTTCTTGGCTGGTGAGAGGAGGAGAAGGGTGAGTGAGTGATGACCGCCTCTTTATCTCTCATTACATCCCTTTCACCTCTATATCCTACGATGTGATTAAGAGGTGAGAGGAGGAGCGATGAGAGATAGAGATGCATTCCTTCCCTTTCATTCGTCTCTTGAGCAATCTTGGCTCACTAGTTCCAATAGATAAAGCTTTACCCCTTCTTTATCTAAGATGAGCTCTTGCAGCTCATCTCTTTTCCCAAAAATAGACAGCATGCAATCCTTTTTCTGAAGAACGGGCACCCTCAGGTGCTCAGGATGAAATGGAATCTTTAATTCTCCGGCATGCATACGTTTCTGGCAAAGAGCTTAGCATTGCAGCTCGTAGAGTTGCATGGAGAAGCGAGACCTTGACTCCAGCCACAGTGCCCATCGTTCGTGTCGGCAACCGCGCAAGTATTCAGTTCGAACAAGCGGACGTCAGCTTTCAGGTTCGGCCGGATGGCTGAGCGTGTTGCTTTCTCGGCCAGGCGGTAGCTGCTCTCGCTGAACGCCACGAACGCCTTATTACCTATGGAGCTGGCTGGTGAAACGTGCGACTTGTGTCTAGTATTTGCTGAAGATCTCTACCTGCCCCGATTGCGCAGGTCCCAGATGAGCTGCTGCGAGTCGTGCACGGGCGCAACCGCCTCTCTCGGTTTTGGTTTGTGTGGCTTCTTCGCAACACCCAAGGCGTAGCTCTTCGCACAACACCCAAGCACGAAGCCCTAGACCCAAAAAGGGGGCCGAACTTTTGGCTAAAATTCTACAAGCCTCAGCCCCCTAAAAAACCGCCTCACAAATGTCGGAAACTCTAAAATTCTAAAACCCCAAGCCCTCAAAACCCTAAAACCCTGAAACCCCAAGCTCCCAAGCAAATGTTGGGGTGGAACAGGTTGGCCCACCCCATCCGCCGCTCCCATTGTTTCAGCGAGCGAGGCACGTGCTGCTCCATTCGCCGGAGGCGTTAGAGAAGAACTCCGCACGGCTGGTGTCCATCCGCGTCCAGGAAGAGGGAAGCTCGCATGAGCCAAACATATTGCGACCCACCTTGTTTGAGTCTCCGGTTAGCCCTCTCTTTTTTTGCGATTTTCTAGATAACCAGTGCTTTTACAGAAATCTACAACAGGATAGGATCCGGATGTTGTTTTACAATGGAACCTATTGTGATTCGCTTTTTGTAGGGGAATCCAAGGCCGTATTCTGGGATTTCCTCAACAGGACTGTTCCGCCACGCGACCAGAGGACAAGGAGGCCAGGTCGGGCGGGTTTGGGACCATCTTACGACTAGTTTTTCGTAAAGGCACTTAGAGGCCCCCCGCCAAAAAAGAACAAACAACGACAGGTTTATTAGTTGAAATGAACCCTAACAAACTTCCTCAGCAACTGCGTCTTTGTGGGGTTCCATCGGGCTCCGGGCTTAAAGTAAAGCTCCCGGAAGCAAGCAACAAGCTATTCAGCAGACACGCAACTTTGCCCAACTCTGATGAAAGCTGCTGCTTATTCAAATGCTCGAGCATGGTGGGTCCCGGCCTTGACTTGTCAGTGGCATTTGGTAATCAGGTCAGATCTTGCATTGTGAAGCTTAAGGAGCAAATGCGCAACCTATTCGCCCCATGTGCATGAGAATCAATCATTGAAATTGAACGACCCCCAAGGCCCAAATGAACCACACACGCACCCGACGTCCTCATTTGACCTCACCCTAAACCAACTCAAGCAACTCCCAACTATTCCCTTATGTCTGGTTTGGAATAGTAATTTGCGCAGATCATGGGGAAATCCTCAATGTTAGGTGCGTGACGCCTGTGGGAAACTTAGACCTTATTGGCGTCTTGGCGGCTGGCCAATGGGACCAAACTTGGCAGTCACCTGAATGCCCGAATGCGGTATCCAGGATGTAGATACATATGCTCACATCTAACCATTGATACATATACAGACAATATCTTCCAAATCCGCATGTTGCATGTCATTTGATTCACCCATACATAAGTATGTTTATTTATGTAGGTATAAATACAACTAATGTAGACATCAATACATAGATACAGAGAGATATGAACATGACCTAAACAGACAGGAAAGTGGGCGGGTAGACAGAGACAGAGACAGAGCAGAGACAGAGACAGAGAGACAGACAGACAGCTAGCCAACCAGACAGACACACAACCAGGCAGGTAGGTAGGTAGGTAGGTAGGTAGGTAGGTAGGTAGGTAGGTAGGTAGGTAGATAGATCAAGGTGCACATCTACATGAACACTGTCTGGTTGTCTTTGCAGTGAGGTTCTGGGGCGGATGACTCCGGAAATTCGTTGCTTCCGGCGAGAAACTGAGAAACCCGTGAGGCGATCCTGTCGAACATCGGCGGGGCCCGAGAGCAGGAGCCATGGGAGGGGAGTCTCCAATGCTGTGTGTGTGTGTGTGTGTGTTTTTAAGGATTTGGCACCCCAAAACGTCTTCGGGTTTCCTTTTACAACCCTTTTGGGGTCAATTTCATGCTTTCTGGGGAACCCGGCAAACAAAAGACTTAGAGGGTGCCGATCACCATTATAAGTTGAGCCCTTCAAAGAAAACCATAAGGGATGGTTCATATCATCGAAACCCGCAACAGGAATTGCTGAAATTGACCTCAAATATCCACCAAAACCAAGAAACCCTGTAGAACTTCCGTTTTCGTTGGTTTGCTAGAGACGCTCCCAAAAAGTGACCGAAGTCCAGGAACTCAGGGTTTGAGCTATTCGGTCATCCCCTTTGCTGAGACTCAGAACCAGCTGGGTGTTTCTGTTTGAGGGTAACCCCCGTTTTTGTCGGTTTTGAAGGAACCTTCTTTGATTCGGTCCCGACACAAATACACACCCAATTGCGTCTTGCATCCTTTTTAGTACCGCGTGGTTCCAACCTTCTTGAGGCTTTTACCAAGCGGCTTGCGGTGGCTTGGAAATTCACATCCCAAACCACCCTGGAAACCCTAAAAGGATTCCAATAAATGGGAATCCAGCTTGCATCAAAGGACAAACGCAAACCCAATGGTGACCCAATTCAAAGAATTCGTCTTTGTTTTCAGCAGTAAGGGGGTTGTTCTTGCGATAGAGAACCTCTTGCAGTTGAAGAAGTGATGTCGGGACCCGGGCCGCGACTGGGTTTCCTTTTAAAATTAACCAGAAGATGGCTCTTCTTTGCGCTTTTCCGCTTTTTTTTCCCCCCCATGGCTAAGTTGGGGGCTGGGAGGTTCATAACCCCAACCCCTGCTGAATGGGTGGCTCGTCTTTTGTGGGGTCCCCGACCCCACTGTTGGTTGGGTTTAAAGGGAAACCAACGGGAAAGCCAGCTCAAACCCGAATCGATGAGGGCGCTTGTCAACCTCAGCTGAAGAGGGCGCTTTTCTGAACCCCATGACCCCGAGTTGATGGGTTAACTCAGCGTTTGTTTCGACTCAAGGAAGGTCAAGCTGCCACCAAGGAACCGGTTCAACATGGCGATGGGTTCAGTGGGGCCCATGCAACACCGGCTCCTTTTTTGGAGGGTCGAGTAGGGAGGGCTAGGGTACGGGCAAGGGTAAGGGTTCGGCAGGGGTATCCAGCAAAAAAGGTGTCGTCGCTCTTTGTATTTTTCCCATGGACATTTACAGTGACAGCCCTTCGTTCTAAATCCTGAACGCCCATAAACATAGCTTCCCCATTCTTTCCGGGGATCCTTCCTTCCAGAAAACCAACAAACCACCCAGAGGAGCGATCCCGCTTTTCGAAAAGAATGGCCATCTATGCTTCCAAGGCGGCCCCGGTGAAACGGTCCGACTTCCACACCTGACTCTGGGGTTGAAAAGAATGGGGAGCCAAGCCCTAGAAAACCAAGTGCTCCGTCTCCCCAGCATATCCACTTGGCGTCTTCGGCTGAGCGGGGTCACCTAGGAGCAGTTCAATGACCGGCTGAGGGATCTCTTGCTGGGCGCCAAAGGCGCCTCGCCTGGATTTTCCTCCGCTTTTTGGTGTTAGCTTGCACTTGTGAGGTGGTTCTATGTATAATTTTAAGGCCTGTTTTCCCAAAGTAGTAGCACCTCAACTGGGACATCACCAGGGCCCGGTTTCAAATGGACCTCAGCAAATCGGTGTTGGTCCGCGCCGGTACGTGCCGCTCTTTAAAGGGGATATTGAACAGGGCCCTAATTTTTTCTCCTTGGTAGTGGTGTCCCTCTAGGGACGCAGGATTGGCTCCTCCATTTTGAACAGAAACAAAAAGTAATCCAGAACGGGAAACCTTGGACGCCCCCAAGGTGAAAACAGGACCCCCCCCCTTTGTTGGTCACTGACCAAAACTCCTCATGTGGAACTTAGTCAGATTCTTTTTGGGTTGCCAATTTCTGGAGGACCCATATGGGCGTGTCTCTTTTTGAGGCTACCATTTCTTGTCCTTTCAAAGCAAAACCAATGGAACAAACAGGCAAATCTTAAAAACAAAGACACCAAAGACACCCATATGGCATCACAGACTTCGGCCGCTTAGGTCTGCTGGCCAAGTGGCTGGACGGCCAAACCAACCTGCAGGGCATAGGCGCTGTGGCCGCGCGCGTGAAGGCGGAGACGCGCGCCCACGAGGACTAA